AAAAATCTGATATGACTGTCTCTGATTAACTGGAGCACGACAAAGTGTTGGTCACAGTAAAATAATTTAGCAGTTAAGTTTATAGCTCACATTTGAAAAGGCCTTGAACTGACATTCATTTCTTCTTGACCAACAACAGCTAAGACAACAACAAAGCTAACAGACGAGCTCAGCTTGTCACAGCCGGCCTCGTCTGAGATAAATGGCCTTCAAACTTATTTAATATTAAACATTTAAAGCCAATAAGCAAAGCAAGATACGCATGAGATTCCATTTCAATTTATTCAATCACAGACTTGTCAAACAGTCTGGCATTTTGTGCTGCTGTTTTCAAGAGTTAATAACTGAAGAGAAGAACTCCATCGAGAGAGGACAGGAAACGCTCAGGGGACAAGTCCTCCATGTTGTCAGTGGTTGCTGATGGATCTGAATCTGAGAGCATCTTCTGTAATAAAGAAAAACAATCACAGAGTTAAATGTAAAGTATAATGAATTTTACTGTGATGTTTATGCCTCAGACCTGAAATCAGATCTGTCCTCAGCTTCTGCTAAACTTCAGCTTCTAAAGTTTACTTTAAAGACAGGAGAACTATTAAAGAGGAAAAACAAAATATATAATAAGACATGATGAATCCAATAATATGATCAGCTTTATGAATTTATGTTTGAAGACAAAAGTGTTCCTGCCACTTTCTATTGAAGATTATTTTAAACTGTCATCACATGGGCCAGCCTGATAAATTAAACTGATGTTAAACATTCTCATATAATCAGACAGCCAATTTGTGTGCTGAACCTCACCGGAGCTGGAATCAGAGTCTGGACTGCTGTTTCCTTTGGGCATTGATTTCCTTGAAGACAGAAAGAAGAACAATTTAAACATGAACTTCTTGCAGAACCATAGAGGCTGTTAAAATCTTCTGCTAGTCTTCCTTACATTTTAAGAAGGATTATAAATTGTTACTAAAATTACTTTGATGCCGATGGCGGTTACAATAACACAGTCCAATCATATGAGAGATCATTTTACCTTTGAGTCCTATGTGAAGACATGCTCTTCAGACACTGCAAAGACAAGATGATGGCGTCCACCTTCACAACCTGCTGCTTCAGTCTGGCTGCAGCATGTACTGTATGCAAAGTAGAATTTTTTTTAGCTGTAATTCCTCAAAAAGTTTCTTTTCCCTTCTCTCTGTTTGCCTGTACATGACCTTTCAGTGCTGTAGAAGATGCTACAGTAAATCCTGGATCAGCTGTGTGGATGGTGTGACTGTGTGGTAAAGCTTTGTTAAAGTTGTCATGCACATACTCATATGCCTTTGAAGAGTAAAAGTGCAGTGTGGTGGCAAACTGCTTATAAAATATAAAATAGTATTTTATTGGTGAGGTGTCCCAATCAAAGCGTCCTACAGAGTAGCAGCAGCTTTAGAGGGAGGAGACGAGCGCATTATGGAGAGGAGCGCACCAGAGGGGGCGAGCTGGGGGAGAGACCAGAGACCAGAGAAAAAGGAAATCCCAGTTTAAAATATAATGTTGACAAAAAGAGGGAAATAGGAAGAAATAAATGTCAATGATGAAATTCTTTTGAATACAGAGGCTGTGAATGTTCAGTTTTCTTTGGCTATAAAAAGGCAACAACAGCCTGTAGTTTAATCATGGTGTTTCTCTTCGTTAACGATTATTGAAGCGAAATCAAAAATAAATGCATGACATTTAAAACATATTAACATGTGTGGGGGAAAAATTAGATCTTTATGTCTTCTTTTATTGTGCCTCTGTCTCCTCCTAACTAACGTAACAGCAGCCTGTTGTGTGTAACACTGGTCTCCTGCATTAACACCTTCCTTTCAAAGGTGATAAATACAGACACAGTCACAATCACCGAAACATTTTTTAGTACAAATTCTGAATGAGCGTCATTAAATGTACAATATGATCAACTTGTGACTGTTGAATTGGTGTGTGGAAGACAATGCAGAATATTTATCACGTTTAAGCAGCATGATGCTCGGTTAATATTACATTACACCACCGCCGGTTGTTGATGTTTGCGTTCACATTTCGGTTAGTCTCTTAAATCAGTAACAGTTATATTAAATCAGATCTTACCTTTAGTTTTATCTGGATACATAGAGAAATATTCTACCCTCGTATATAGTACTATGAATTTCAGCCTGCACAGTGAAAGTAAAACCTGTTACTCTCAGTATAGCCCACTTATCACTCAGACTGTAAACATGTACACATTAGTAATGATGCAGGCCAGATTTAAATTATTTGGCTTTGTTTTTGCCCTAGATACTTTTTTGAGACTTTACCAGACGTTTTTATTTTTGCTGTAAAATAACTGTACAGTCAATGAACCGCATCTGTGAGCGGATTTTATATTACGATTCTTGGTTTTAAATACAATTTCAATCACAATAACGATATAACAATTTTAAGAAACATAGCATGTCAGTTATTAGGTTTGCTCATTTCATTTCATTTCATAAAAAGATAAATCATGCCGGATAAGTAACCTAGCTTTACAACATTTCAGCTAACCTTAGACTGCTTATGTGTTAGCTAGCTAGATAACAACTTTAACCAATGACACATAAATCACTTTTTTACTTACCGAAAAAACTGCAAAGATCCCTTAGCTTTTGTTATTCACAAAGAGAGCTACGCAAGATCGGCGGCTGTCAATCATTGTCAAATATGACGCAAAAACCCGTTTTTCAACCTCAAATAACTTATTTAAAACAAACTTCACAGTAAAATGAGCACTTGAACACAATGTAGGGTGATAATAACTAATGATCACAGCAGAGTTTAGGTTTAAAAAAAAATTATGTGATGAGTATTTTACCTTTACAGTTTGACCCACATCCCATCTGTTATCATTGAGGAGGCAGGGTTTATGACCTATACTGCAGCCAGTCAGTAGGGGGAGCTCTAAAAATAAAAGCTTCACTAGACCGGGGACCTTGTCCCGTCCATTATTTTTACAGTCTATGACCAAGACACGCACAGCGAACAACAGTCCCACCACCTTTGGGGACAGGTCTTCCTATGTTAAACTATAGGTGAAATATTCAGCTTAAGGCAAATTTACAAGCATGTCTACATGCACACTTCTGATTCTAAAAACAAGCGCAACTGATCCAGTGACAGGACCTGCACACACGCAGGAAGCATCCTACATTTCATTTTATGCTCACTTTATCCTCAGATCTTAAGATCACACAAACCCAGATCAACATAATTCCTTTCCATATTGATTGATAATGAGCAGCGCACAAAAACAAGTAGCCAACAACAATTCAGAACGTGTGCCTCACTCCAAAAGCATCACTACACAGCAGTTTGGAAAAACGCGCTCCTACCTGTTGATGTCTTCATGGTCCGTCTGTCGTCAAGGTTTAGGGTGAAGGCATCCTGTCCAGGGCCCTTGGTCTTCTGGTGTTGATCTCCAACAATGCCAGGTTACAGGTCTGTCAGTCTCCACTGCTGGTCCTCAGATAGGTGTTGTTAAAATTCTTCATGGACTCTCACGGGGATTTCTGCCACATATCATCGGTAAATGGCAGGATCCACAGCAAAAGACGCGGGCCTTCCTCCTCCGCCTTCCTCGTCCCAATCCTCCAACTTTTCTTATAGTGGCGTTTCTGAAAGTTTCTCAGCCCAATAAACAGCAACACCTGTATGAGCCTTACTAAGTTCATCATCACTCTGTTTACAGTGTTTGATTGAGTCTCTGCATGTGGATGTTTGACGATCCGTGATGCCAAACCAGCGAAACTTCAAAAAGTTGCACTCTGGCTAAGAGGAAGTGCAGTAAGGTCAACATTCAATGCGTGCTGTGCCATTGGCTGAATTTAATCACCTGATTCGGGTTTTTATCTGTATTATTTAAAAACAAACATGTTTTTTTGTGTCTTCATTAAAACTGAAATATAGGCTATATGACTCAAAATAAATTGGAAAAGGAAATATAATTAAACCTCAGACATTTCTTGAGAGTGCTTTGGCTAACCTAGCTTCGGCATCCCCAAGCCCATGCACCTCAGGCGACCCATATGTTTTCATGATTACATAAATGACTGTGTTTTAAATATCCATCTAATTTAATTGTCAAGGAAAAATCTGGACAGAACATCTGCTGCATACAGCTTTTAAAATAGGTTTCACAGGTTTCCACACAGGTTTCCACTGCTTTTGAAGATAGCAAAGGGAGAATCTTCATTGTTTTTGCACTGTCTCTTAAAAACTTTTAAAATGTAGACATTTTTTAATAACAAGAGACACAATTAAAGTGATAATAAACAATCTGCTGATTACTAGGTAAGATAAAGAATCCATACAGCCCAATCTAAACGATCAACAGTTCAGCATGTTCTTTCTTTGAAGACTTTCATGTTGCTGCACCGACTCAGTCACACGGAAAGAGGCAGAAATGGTTGATCTTAAAAAAGATAAAGCAAACTTTTTTATTTCCCCCTTTATTTTACAACATTCAGATACAAACATTAAGCCACATTTTCCGCAATAACATCACTCATTAGCGCTAGCGCTGATACAGTATGAAAAACAATCAACTAAAGTTACAAACAAAAAGAACAAACAGAGTCTCAGTCTAACATACAAATCCAGACAGGCAGCAAGTTTCCGTGCGCTTCTTTCCCCGTCATATATTGAAGAGATTTCCCAAAAGGTTGAGTCTATTCTTCCGCCCGTTGATGTGAGGTCTGACCTTTAAATATTAACATCTATGAATAAAATGTTTACTTTTACAAAATCAAATTATTTATCAAGAATTCTAAACTTTTCCCCTGAACAAATCCTCCAGTTTGAATTGACATAACGTTGACAGGGTGTACAATTATTTCTTTGGTGTGTAACAAGCTCTAAAATGCAAGCCAAAGTTCACAATAGAAGAAAACAGATGTAGCAAACTTTACAATGTGGGAAAAGTATTTCCATACAAGACATTTTGCTGAACCATACTGGCACCTTTGGGTTGGAGGAGATCATAATAACCTTAAATGTAGCTGTGATTTTATGACCATACAAGTGTTCATCTCACGGCAGTCTGTATTGCAAAAACGGAACTTGTGAAGTAAATAATGGATGTTTTGTCCTGTCTTTCATCATGTTGAAGATGATTGAGCTGGGCCTGAGCCTGGCTGATGGCAGTCTGATCGACGAGCTGATGGAGCTGACATCACAGAGCCTCGGTAACCTGGAGATCCAGGAACACTTCAACATCATCAAGGAGATCGGCAGGGGGAAGTTCGGCAAAGTGCTGCTGGTGACACATCGCTTCAGGGGTATAACTACACACTTTATTTCTGGTCTCTTTAAAAAAATAGAATAGCATTGTATAAAATGTACATTTACTGATCTGAAGCTGCTTTATCCGAGGAAAAGGAAAGTAGGTGTTACGTTTTATTGCTCAGCGATTGTTATGCTAGCTGCCTGGGATTAATAACAGAACAAAAAGGTATTTTCATATTTCATAGGTCATTGTTCTTCCAAGAGTTTTCAGAACCTCAGATAATGTGTTTACACTTTTGGTATGTGACTTCAATCAATATAAACCATTTCATATTTATAAAGCATCAAATCACAAGTAGCGTTACCACTGACATTTTGAATATAGAGCATGTTTAGACTGTACTCTAGTACACAATGAATTTGCCAATGACCAAGAATTTGGAAACAGTAATAGGGACAAACAAACAAATGGACGGGAAGATAAGCAAACAAGAAATACAAACAGACAGAAACAAAGAGACAACAACAGCAATAGATAAAAGCGACTTGAAGCTTTTGATTGTTAGGTGATTTTGACGCCCCTGTGGACAAAGCTGTCTTTACTGATCTTGGTCTGCAATAATAATTTTAAAAAAATCTCATCTAGTAAAACTTTAACTCTATGAATCCTTTCTGTGGAAATGTGACATTTTAACATTTCTTCAGTGTGCTGTAAATCATCTCGTCAGACACCTACCCCTAAGGCAGCGTTAACAAGCATTAAAAAATGTAACGTAGTGGTGGTTGTAGAGTCTGTTGGGACCCTGGGCAAAAATTTACAGGGACTCCTCCAATAAAAACTCTGGATCTTGGCGGCCTACACCCAACTCAGTGATGGCCAACGTAGCTGTAAACACTAGGCTGCTATGCTAGTAACGAACAAACAAAGACTAAATGTCACTTTTGGCCTGAGCAGCCAATTAAATCAAGTGGGATCTACTTCTGCTCTTTTATTTTTATTTTTTATTTTTACACTTTTTCTTCTCATGGTCTAGGAGCAAAGCAACAGCGAGAGCTCTATGTTTGCTCAAATTCATTTTCCCACTCATTGTATTTGACCCCTTGTATGTGCGCGCAGTCCACTCCACAGGTGCTCCGAGCAATTTTTCCCCTCTCGAAAAGGGGCCACAGGAGCGGTCATGTGTCACGACCTGTCTCTGTGTTATCAGGCCCTTAGCCTATAGCAGCATAACTAGGTGCTGATCCAAGGCAATCCTGAACCAGCCCTTTGCATATTAAGCTAAAAACTCTTGAAAAAGGGTTTTTGGCCTAGTCTTGAAATCTGTAATTGAAGGGTCTGCCTCTCATATGAATCCTCAAGACTTTCAATACCAGAAGCAGCGCATATAGTATCAGTACAGAAGTACACAGGCTGCAACATTTTGGACTAGCTTTAGAAAGTATTAAAAACAGTCTGAAAGGACTTTAGAGAAACTGGCAACTGCAAATCAGAGAGCCATGAAGAGGGAAGGAAGTATCTTTCCAAAACGACTACAGTAAAATCAGGACAGGTGGCTTGAGTATTACCATAGATAAGGACTGCGCTCTTCTGATTTAAACCCCAGACAACCCCGAGGGGAAAAGAGTACTGCCAAAATGGATCAATGACTGGGTCGGAGCAGACAAAGGGCTGGGCAGAATGCAGAGCATGGTGCTGGCCTGAGGCCTGAAGGTTTTGGATTTGAAAGCCATTGGAGTGAGTGGTCAGGGGTAGAGGGGACCTGGTAGTAGTTCAAGGTTGTAGCCATGCTTTTGTCCAATGCTACTCTTTAAATTGTACCGCCTATACTATAAATCAGTAGGGTATCACTCAAGTCATAAATACATGTAATTGTCTGCATTTAAAAAAATGTTTTCGCATCAGCTATGGTAATGACAACTAAAATGAAGTATGGCTGATCTCCAGGGACTCCCATGGCCTTGAAAGTGATGCCCAAAGCCTCGACTAAGCTGCAGGGCTTTCTGCGAGAGTACTGCATCTCCTTACACCTGTCTTGCCACCCCTGCATCGTGGGCCTCTTTGGCATTGCCTTCCAGTCTAATGACCACTACTGCTTTGCACAGGAGCTCGTCATTGGCAGGGACCTGTTTGCTGTCATCCAGCCAAAGGTGAGTCATACATTGGCAAATCAAGAACCAAGAGGGTCGACATCAGCAGCAGCAGCACTAGTGGGCCTGTGAGGTTGTATTTCAATACAGTGGTACTTTGAGATGAACGCTAATGTCAGATTCCAGGAGCTCAGAAATCTGGCATGGTATAGTGTTTACCATGGTGGCCATTTTGGTTCAGTGTGTTAGCATGTTTATATTTGCCGATCGCTGATTGCAAGAATTTGGTCAGAAATCAAATATAATTCTTACCTGATTATAACTCTTGATGAAAAGTTATGTTATTAAAGATCATCCAACGAGAAACAGAAATGATGGCAACTAATTCCACCAATATCAAATTATTCAGTTGTTAATTATACATTTCTGCTGAAACCACAAATTTGAAGATTACTGTGTTAAAGCACGGGTTGATTTCCACTCTAATTGAGATGTCTGGTATTGGCAGTAGTAAAAGAAATGCACTGAGCATTTGCGAGTTACACTATTAAACACAGTCTTATTATCAGAAAAAGATGCTTACATTTACATCTGTGTTTTCAAGGTTAAGGAGTAGGTAGAGCTCAAGGTGATTGTAGTTGGTTACTGTCCTTTATGTCACAGAAATAATCAGCTACTTCTTGGCTTTCACACTTTTTTTTTTTATCTCAATCAGCCATCAAACGTAACAAATGTGTTCAAATATTCTTTCCAATCGTGCAATGAATCCACTGAACGAGTTAACGTTTTGACCTGAGTGGAAATATCAGAAGGCGCCATGAAATTCTGAGCCTAAGTTCTAGGCAATTCATCCAATTGTTATCTGACAAATGACTCAACAATGGCCACATTGTGACTGTGGGCAGAAGATTTAGAAAGGTTAGAAGAACATTTGGTTGAATTCAAATGTCCAGACCTCACTGCCTTTACCATCTCAGACTATAAAGTTAAGAAGTGCTACCACTTATGTCCAAGTCGGAAGTGAACTTTCTAAAGCCTCCAAGAGTGTCTACTTCATTGAGAATAAAATGTATTCTATACACTTTAACCAAAGCCTTAGGTTTGCTGGTAGGAACAAAACCGTTTTAGTCTTAGGAAAAATCAGAGGTTACCTAAATAAGAGCAAACAACCCACTCCAAGTTGTTTACCTGCAAATGTTGATAACAACCCTATGCCCTAGCTTTTATGTTAGCATTTTTTTGTGACAAAAATAACCTCCTTGTCTTATGGTTCCAGGTGGGTATCCCAGAGTCTGCAGTAAAACGCTGTGTTCTCCAGGTTGCCAGTGCGTTGGAGTACATTCACAGCCATGGCCTGGTCCACCGTGATGTCAAGCCTGAAAACATCCTGCTGTTGGACAACCACTGCTGCCAGGTCAAGCTGGCAGATTTTGGCTTAGCCCAGAAGAGAGGCACTCTGATCCGCTTCATCACAGGAACCCTGCCTTACATGGCCCCAGAGCTTTGTACTATGGCCCTGCTGGATGGCAAGAAAGAAGTGACTGCTCCTCCTCTCAGTGTGGAGCCAAGCCTGGACACCTGGGCTTTCGGAGTGGTTATCTTCTGCGTCCTTACAGGCTATTTCCCCTGGGAATGCTGCATGGACTCAGACGACTTCTACCTGGAGTTTGCAGACTGGTGCAGAATGGAGGAGAGGCCCACCGCTGAGGAAGATATTCCTCCTCTGTGGAAAAGATTCACTCCAGATGCCATGGAGATGTTTGGTAAGCTCCTGGCTCCAGATGTAGAAAAGAGGTGCACAGTTGGGGAAGTAAGGGCGTACATGGAAAAGGACTGGCTTAGGAACGTAAATGGGATGGAGCAGGAGCAGACAGCAGAAAAAGAAAAAGTCAGTGCCTCTGTAAGTAATGCTGGACATTGCCAACTGTAAGAAAACCATACCTCTTACAGACTGCATTTTTATATAACTTGTGGCTTCTATTTGCTTTGCCATGAGATAAATGTTAGACATGCAGAGATCACACCTGCTATCGGGCATGATTTGCAGTGATGAGACATTTTGGGTTTACATCTTGTAGCGGGGAGACACATTACTTTGAAGCTTGTGTCCTATAATAAATATGATTTAGACAGGCACTTAAAGGAAGAATGCGCAACATATTACACATAAATACAGCAGAAATCAAGTTTATCCTCTTTAAATGTTTCTCTGAGTCTTGACTGTCTACAATAAGTGAGAAGCTCGAGTACCGCTAGCTGTACTGTTGTCAGAGCCATGTTTACATCATGTTTACATGGACAGGACGGTCTTGCATATAAAGCTGTTTTAGTCATGGACTAGAGAAAAGAAGAATAACATACTCTGCTTATTTGGATGTCATGTAAGTGTGTTTAGATCACAGTCATTTTTTGTCAATTTATGTGCAATACAAAGCTATGCTTACCAAAGTGTGCTAAGATAAGCCTGCAAACACAACAACACAGGCCACAGCCAATTGCAAGCTTGAGCAAAGGACCATTTTGTCTGCTTTGCTTAATTCTGCATAATTATGGTGCGTTCTAATTCATACCTCCTTCCTGCAAACAAGGGGGTTGGGGGTGTCTCGCGGAGGTGTCGCCAAACAGCAGTATGTGTTTTGGTTGCATGCTGGTGCTCAAGGGCGACAACTACCTGATCACAGTCACACATTCTTCCTTTAATCATCCCTACATTGTCTTACAAAATTTCAGATTCTACCTAAATAAGCTTCATTGAAAATATTCCAGTAAAACAATGTGATTTTGAGTGAAGACCCTTTCTTGGTTTGCCAAATTTTAAAATGGAAAAGAAAAAAAGTTTAAGCATTGCAGTATTGTCTATTTTTTACTGTCTGTTGCAACAAAAATAAATAAAACTTGTTCTATGGTTTGAGTTTTTATTAAATTCATTTTCATAAACAGTCTTTACATTTATGCAATCCAATCCAGCTTTATTTATAGATCAAATTTTAAAAACAGTGTTTACAAAGTGGTACAGTCCACAGCATATAGTGTTGCTCCAAAGTTTTGGAGCTATAGATAAAAAAAGCATGGTCTCCTCTCGTCGTCAGACTAGTTTTTGGGATGGCTATAAATACCATTTATATCTAGATACTAGTTCTAAAGGGTCCTATAACTGAGAAATAAGCTTTTTCTTTGAAAACTTGCAGGTCAACCTTAATATCAACTTTTTATAAATATCACTTTTACCTGCAACAAATATCCAAATCTGATGTTTGATATATTTATTTTCTGAATGGTAGTCTATGTATAGTATAATCAACATTTGGGAAATATTGTAATTCATTTTACTGTTCAAGAGTAACAGTTTGTTAAATTTTAGTATGCTGTTATGTAGTTTTCATTTTGAATTTCCCTATGTATATAAGGGTATGAACACATATGTATACAGTTATGCATTGTATGTATGGTCATGCTGTGAGAACATGATTAGGAATGAAATAAAATAAAAACATCCATCCTCTTTGTCTTGCTTTTTTTCGTCTTGTCTCCTGGGCAGATATCGTGTTTCTCTCTTTGAAGTGGGATCACTGACCTTAGTCACAGCTCTGTCTAACTTATTGTGAACCCCGCCTTCCTCAGTCCCTTTACATTGAGTGATCACTGCTACACCTGGCTTTCTACTGATGGACAACCTCTTGTTTTGGGCATACGAGATGTTGCAGGTGCTTTTTGGACAGGTCATGTTGGTCTCTAAGGAGGGCAGACCTAAACTTGGCCTGGAGCCTGAACCTGCATGCCCCCTCGTGCTTTAAAGCATTGACAAGGTATTACATTAACCATGGTCATCTTTCAGCTGACCCCTAAGCCCCAGCTGCACACTCAGGCCTGTCACACAAACACTAATACAGCCGAGGAAACTCTGACTGCAAAGCCCGTGTCGGTATTTGACTCACCAACTATCTATGCTAGTGTTCACACACATATCACACCCAGTGGCTCAGAAGATTTAAATAATGTGCTGCATGCCTGATGCGTGTAACAAGGCATTACAACCATTGTGTTAATCTTGTGGACAACAAGCCTTGCACAAGAACTTACAAAGAGCCTCCAGAGATTTTCCTGTTTTTCTTATACAGCTATTTAAATTTACTTTTTCATGCATGTGAGCAAAGTGATGCTTTCCTGCAAAAACCTGACAAACAGATAAGCAAGGTATGATTTCCACAAAACTACATCTACATAAAACATCTTGTATTTCCTTTTCCTGCTGAGTAAAGATCATATCATGCTGTTATGAAATGCACTGTGGTCAGAGAGTTTCTTTTTTCATGTTATCTACACTGCTGTCGTGTTACTGATACTTGAATTCTTAACCAGCACTCCAGTAAATCATCATCATGCACGTGACAGATACATTCATTTATCCTCCTGCAGAGGAATGATCTAAGCTTGATAGACCAAAGCTTTAAACATTTCCCTTTTAACGTTCTTTGTTTTTGATCTGTAACAAGTCTGTTTTTCTGTGGATACGCTAATTTCATAAACTTCGATCGACCAGAAGTTTTTTACTTTAATTCGAAATAAAAGCAGGTTTGAATTTAAAAGGAAGACCTCTGTTTATTTCAGGTCTGTTATTACTTATTATGATATGATTAGAGGTTTAAACCATTGTGTGCTGCTGTCCAGTAAGCTTGGAGATCATGCTGTAACATTAGAGGTCATTAACTCACCAAAGAAAGAAGCACACATTTGATTTAATGGCACCATCACATATACAGATTTATTGCTGCTACACGCTGAAAAATAATAAAGAACAGATTGATGAACAGTTAACTAAACTAACTGTGCAGTTATCAGTGGACTTAATTGCAAAACTGTTTGAACTGAATAGAAGGTATCCAATAAAATAATATTAAAAAGCAACAACTTTTCTGTCATACTCCCTGCACATCTTTGTCACTTACTACTCAGCTTTGTAGTGAACGAGGTATATAGCACATATTTAAGAGGATATTTAAGAAATGTTGTTTCTCTAATTGTGGGTCGCAGTGTTTTCCTGTTCCTGTTGGGTTAATGTATTTTCAGCAGTTTTGCTGTTTATGTATGTGTTTGTCTTTCTGCAGCACAGTATTTCATGTGCAAAACCTTCTAAGGTGATAAATTTTTCTTACAATATTGATTCAGGTTTCAATTTGCATCGTTACAGAAGCCAGTTCATTTTTTCCACAGTCATTTGGAATTGAGAGATTTAAGATGGAAACCAACACACACACACACACACACACACACACACACACACACACACACACACACACACACACACACACACACACACACACACACACACACACACACACACACACACACACACACACACACACACACACACACACACACACAGCCATAGATGACATATCCAGGCTTTCAGTATGACAGCATACACACACAGGAACACTATTAATAATAGAACTCTGTTATGGAAAATCACCACAGCTGGGGCCTCACCCGCAGCCAAAGGCTTGTGTGTCTTTACCATGAGTGTAAAAAAATAAAAAAATAAATAAAAAAGCTTGAGAGACAGTAATCCACACTGATCTGTGTTTGAACAGATAAAGACTGTGAGAGCCTCAGTAAGCAGAGGAGACTGATCAGAGTGTGATTGATGAGTATCTGAAACAACAGCTATATGGAATTAGTTTAAAGTGTTATCAGAATGTGGGGCGCTGGTGGGGCAGTGGTTGGTGCGCGCACCCCATGTATGGAGGTAGTAGTCCTCCAAGCGGGCGCCCTGGGTTCAAATCCGACGTGTGGCTCCTTTTCCTGCATGTCATTCCCCACTCTCTCTCGCTCCCTGATTTCTGACTCTATCCACTGTCCTATCTCTCAAATAAAGGCATAAAAAGCCTGTTAATTGTTTACAATGCAGGCTGCTTCTTTGATAACACAGAAACTTAAAGGTTGCACTAAAAAGATGGAACATTGATGCAGAAATGTCCTATAACCAGCTGAAAAGAACACTTGATCTTTGTAGTTATGTTTCTATCTTATCTCTACTAGATTTATTAAACATAGTTTAATAAGTTACTATAAAGCGAAAGGAGCCCTGTTACATTTCACAAACGGTGAGGTTAAACTCCATCACATTGGTACTTAAAGCTAATTGCTATCATCAGCACTGTAATTTTGAAAATCATGATAATGCAAAGACGCTGGCATGGAGCATATATAATGTGTTGTTTAGGTTGAACTAGCTAGCCTAGCTGGATGACATTTATCAATAAGCACTAAAGTCATGGTAATGCTAAGGGCAATGCTACATTAATTTGTTTGGCAGGTACTAGGTCAAAGCTTACCAAAGTCACACTTATTCATCTTCTGGGACAACAAGTGTATAATCTATAGCGCATGGATTACATGAAAAACTTGTTGATGATGTTTGAACCTTGACCAAATAGATGGATAAAGTAAGATGATGACATCATAATTTCCAGGAGTTAGTGTGCAAATGTGTCGTTTTGCTTTGGATCTGTATTATTATTTGTAGTCTCATTTTCATAATTCAAGAGTGGCACCGAGCACTGATTAAAAATGTCGCCTCTGTCACTTCCAGATCAGTTAGCCTCTGCGGTGTCTATTTCAGCTTCAGCATCGCAGCAGACTTAATCCCACATCATGATCCCTGAGCGAGGCCTCTGACAGTGAGCCTGGCTGTGATGTTTACATATCATACGGCGGCTGCTGCTTACAAATTAGTCCCTTTGGGTGTATCGCTGACTCTGTGATCTCAGTGGCCCTTTGCTAACTCCTGACTAAACATGTGAGGCTCGAGCAGCTCTGTCAGTCTCTTGAAAGCAGCACCAGTGTGTCTGCTAGTCCCCAACGGATGGCCTATACTCGTGTTAACATTTGTAGGAAGCAGCTGCTCTGTCATATGTCCGGACGATTGGGAGAAGATGTTTAAGTAATCACAGAGAATGTTAAAGTGCATGGGGATGTAACTGTATTCGATATGTTAAGAGCAGAGGCAGGGTGCTCGGATGGAGGGTTTTTTGTTTCAGCCTTTTGCACCACTTTGCTTATCATGGGAAAATGAAAATCACAACAACTCATTTATAAAAAAAATAAAAATAAAAGCATGAATCAAAACTGAAAAGCTGAACAAGGCTTGTAAACATCTGGAGATGTGACAAGAGAAGATTTTCACTCATAAGAAAACGAAGTCTTGTGAAGAAAACGGCTTATTGTGCTGTGTATCAAACTATATATGAAATATAAAACATACAGTCTGATACTCAACATCTGAGCCATTTCCAAGGACCTCGGAGAGTCTGAGGCAAACAGCAGAGGATGAAACCTAAAAGGGGTTTACACGTTTCATACACAGAGTGATCCACAGTTCCTCCTGTGATACAAGGAATTCTGCAGTTACAGTCACAGATACAACTTGCTTTTAACACAGTTCAGCAAAAACGTTCACATTTTTAAACTTGGGTGCAACATAGCCCAGTGGTGTGTGTGCACATATGGAGGCTTAAATCCTTGACGCAGTGGTTGTGGGTTGGAATCCGACCTCGGCCCTTTGCTGCATATCATCCCTCGCTCTCCTCCCAACATTTCCTGTCTCTCTCTCTACCGCTGTCTTATCTAGGCAAAGGCAAAACTGACCCCAAAATATAATTTAAAATGTGTTTTCAATGCAAATGAATCAAAAGTCATGCTGCTTTCAAATCCACCCGACCTTCCTTCAAGCTCCACCTCTCAGGGTACACCGATTGAATCTGCTTCAAGCTTCAGATATCTTTGTATTCTAGTTGATGAATCTCTCTCTTTCAGTCCTCACACTTAGCAGCTGGTGAAAAGGTTCAAACTGAAGCTGGGTTTTTGTTTTATCAAATCCTGCCTCTGTTTTAAATCTGAGAAAATTTAAAACAGCTGCAAAATCTGCTGCCACTTTTGTCGTCTGTGCTGGCATACGCCTCGCCTCACAGCTTCGCTCAGTATATCATCACTAACTCTTACATCAAGCCCTCACTCTGCACTGTTTGTAGGATGCACGTACTGGATAGTCTGCTTCACTGTCATTATTAGAAGTCTCTTTGATGTCTGCTTCCTTTGAATCTTCTTACCTACATCAGCCAGATGAGTACAGTGTTTTAGAATCTTTGGTCCCAGTATCTTTTTCCTGTGACCTAAAACTTAACAAGCTGCTCCCATTGGATGATTTTAAGAGGATGTTAAATAACTTGGATGCAGACACATCTGGCTGCATATGTTCTTCCTGATATACTTATTCTTGTGGGGGATCTTGAAAAAGATTTCCTGATTACATTTTTTTTAAATGTACAATTATGAATCTTATATCATATCTGTAGGTGTGGCCGCTTGTTGTTTGTCACAAACTGTTAATTGTGCTGCTGCATGTCTTCGGTAAGATGCTCCTGATAAAGAAATGTTTTAATCCCAATATGTATTTTTTCCTTTTAAATTAAAAAAACAACTAAAGACAAAATTTTTGACATGAAACAATAAGACATACTTCAGGGATTACAAGAATACAAACTAACTAAAGGTATATAAGACAATATGAAAGAGAAGTGCTTTATTTGCCGGGTTGACATCCCTTAAATTATGATAAAAGTACAAAATGTTCAAAATGAATAACATGTCTCACTGTACATAGAATTCTCACAGATTAAGGGAAAACTGCTTTCCTGCTGAAAAGTTGCCTCTTTATCCACTTAAGAAATGAACAGTTTGACTGCTATGTTCTTTACTTTTAGAAACTGAATCAACTGAATAGATTTGATTTATGAACAAATTGTCAACTCTCAGCGACTAATCCTTAAATTTTATTCATTATTCAAAAACCTATGAAGCTAACATCCATACTACTGAAGGCCTTGTGTTTACATTCATAGCAAATTATTTCTTAACCTTCATTATAACCTTCTTAAAATAAAAGCTTAATTACATTTGCTGAAATCATCGGGCTCAGCTGCTTATACATGAGAAATTTAAAAAGCAAAAACACATAATTATTAAAACATACTAAGCACATTTCCTAAAAGTCAAGCCATGATTGAAACATATCAGCAGAACAAAAATATCTGTTAATAATCTGTTTTAGCAGGACACGTCTTCCTGTAAACTGTACAAAAATGACTCAGTGAGCTTCTTTTCATGTGTGGAAGGAGTGATGCATTCAGGGGTTAAACCCTTTTTCTGCATCATTAGAGCATCTATTTAAACCTCCTCAGCAAATGTTTGGCTCATAAAAACATTAGGCATAATCACACAGTTCATCCAGACCAGTGGTTCTCAACCCGTCCAGCCTCAGATTTCTGACATTTTTCAACCAATCAGATATATTTAATGAAAAATTGTGAAGTACACGCTTCAAATCATGTAATGAAGGCAAGAAACTGAACAAAACAAACAAACGCACTTCAAAAACTTTTTTTTTCCAGGAACACACTCAGGACACACTGAAAATGTCTCCAGGTCCCGGCCCACCAGTTGAGAAACACTGACTTTTCTCAACATTTTGACTTTGTGTAAAATGAATTTAAAAATATACAGAATGTGGTGATTCACAGAACATTAGAAGCCCATGTTTGATTGAAAGAAGCACAAAGACATCAATGCAATCATTGAAAGTGAGAAATGTAATTGTTTTAGGAAAATTAAAAGTCCAATTGTAAATTTGATGCCGACAAAAAGTAAAAAAAAAAAAAAAAAAAGTTGTGTTAACCAAAGACTGGAAAACATGTGAACATCTGATGGAACAAACCAATGAAATCGCTCGAAATGTGATATCTTGTCTTTGTACTCTTTTCAATCAATAATGGGGTTGCAATGTTTTTTGCAAAGCCTCACATTCAGTTTTATTCAGACTTTACACAATGTTGCAACGTTTTAGGAAATGGGGTTGCATTTTGTCATTCATCTTGTGGGTTACAATAAGCACTGGGTTAGGGGCCGTTGACTTTGTCCAGATTGATTTTATCTTTGTAGTTTTTAACCCAGTTTTGGCTCACCCATCTTCGCCCGGCTCTAGATAGTCTTCATCCCCCTTCAGCAATCCTGCACGTGCAGGTGTGGTTCGGGAGCCGTCGTGGACTGTAGCTTTCGTCTGAGGGATTTTTGGGCTGTGTTCAATGTCATCGTAATTCTCCTGTGGGTCGTCCACCTCGTAGGCCACCTGATCTGTAAATGAGAAAAATAGTCACATTTTTAAATCAGCTCATCCTGCACAGTCATATAGTGAGAACTTTTCAAAAAGTTGGATTTAAGTGAGAAAAAGATGGGATGAATCTAGCTCAAAACTTTGATTCATAGCACCTTCAAAGGTCAGGTTGTCACCTGACACAACAGCAAATGAAGCCTGAGAGGTCAAAGGTCGAGCCTCGAAAAGAGCTTCATTAACATCAACGTCATCGTAAGACAAAGAGGGAAGGCTCTGAGCATCACCCTCTGTGATGAGCTCAGCCTCAGGTCTCAATCCTGAAAACAAGAAATATATTTTAAAAGTCCAACATGTAAGATATTATATCTGAATTAAATCATAAAATGACTTTAATTAATCATCAGACATTAAGGAAACATGCTATGTTGAAGAGTAGGCTTCTCTGACAACAACGCAGCAGCCAGTATGTCCTCCTACAAAGTTTCTATTCCTGTTTTTTTTTTTTTTTTTTGACCAGAGAAGCGGACGGTACCCTCACACGGCAGTTTTGCCTCCCATCCCTTAAACAGCAAACCAACAGGTGTTGTAGCCATGAAAGTGGACTAGAGAACTTCAGATGTAACTGATTTTACTGATTATAATAAGCTCCACCAGCAGAAACGTGGTAAAAGTCGGAAAAACATTGGAGATGCTTTTGAAAATGTAGAGCGGTTAGATACTGTTTCAAGACCGATGCAGAGCTGGCTAAACACTGAAGCTTGACATGGCAACCTACATGCACATTGACTCTAGGGAGGAGGGGGCACGGAGAGACAGCTCTCTCTAATGTTTTTGAATTTGGACTGCAGTACCTATTTTAAACACTAGAATTAGAGTTATATTTTGCTCCTTAAGCCACATTAATAACAATTATTACCTCCTTATTTTAACTTTTAACATGTTTAGAAGTAAACATAAGATTATTTGGATATCTGAGGAGTTACAATGTTACAAACACAGACAAGCTAAGAAGTATGAATAGGAAAAAAAAACTCTTTGAATGAAATGATAATAAAAAAACATAAAAAGAAAACTATGTGTGAATTTATAAAATGTTTCTGCAAAATGATCCAGCACTACCTTGGTGATGATGTTCACTTAGCAAAGCAGAATAATAATGGTTACATCAAATATTTATATTGCAACACTACAATTAAAGCATAAATAATGATAATCAAAAGGAATACTATAATTAAAGGCAGGGTTGGTAATTTTTCAAAAACTAGCATGATTTTGAAAGTAGCATTCTTTAAAAGTGTATCTGGAGAAAATGACCAACCCTGCCTTTAAGCATTTAGCTAATATACAAATAGCATTGATGTAGTATAATTAGTAAAGTGGTATAAATGCAAAATAAATGCTACTTCTTCTATTGCTCTCATGGGGGTAACAATATTATTTATAAATAATTAAGAGTAAGGTGCAGTATTTAGTTTTGATACCCTAATCTAAAATTTGGTAGATTATTGTAATGTCCCTCTGTCAGGTTTGCCAATGAAAGGTTCTGAACATGTTCTGAGCAGAGCAGGTATATATGACAGCATTCACCTCGGTGTTGGCCTCGCTTCATTGGCTTCCTGTCCAGGTAAGAGCAGACTTTAAGGTGCTGTTGCTAACGTGGTGCACAGCTATTTACACAACGTCAAAGGTCAGAAAGAAGACAGTTGGTGAGCGGGCTCTTTCATTCTGTGCACCAACATTATCAGACAGTTTCTCTCTAGATATTAGGAGAGCATGCTCTGTTGAGGTGTTCAAAGCAAAGCTAAAGACCATAGTTTACTGCTGCCTATGAGTCGTCTGTATGTTTCCCTGCTGTTCTGTCTTCTTTATTTTTACTTTTTATTTATTTTTTATTTTTTGGCTTTTTGTGCCTTTATTCGAGAGACAGGACAGTGGACAGAGTCACAAATCGGGGAGAGAGAGAGTAGGGAATGACATGCGGGAAAAGAGCCACAGGTCAGATTTGAACCTGGGCCGCCCGCTTGGAGGACCACAACCTCCATCAATGGGGCGTGCACCAGCGCCCCGGTGTTCTGTCTTTGAGTCTTAGTCGAGTCTTAGTGTACAGCACTTTGAATGGAAAGAAAAAGAAAAAGTGAATGGATGAACAAGTGACTTACGGCGTAAGTCTTCCATTTCATTTGCTTTGGTGTTTACATCCTCATAGTCTCCACTTTCAAACTCCACTTCTTCCATTTTCGACATTCTCGCTACATCAAAAGAGTGAAAACATTTACAAGAGCAAGAAAGGCAAAGGGTACACAACATATGCATTGCTGTCTGTTAGCCTGTGTTTCAATTAGCTTAGGACAGGGGGAAGGGGGACACAGGCGATAGATTGGAGCCGGGGACACGCACAAAATAATTGTATAGAGCCAAAACAAGCTTCTAAACTAAATAGTGCACCGAAACTGATGAACTAAATCAGCTGACTCGAGGAGTTCAGGAGACCCTGAAAACAGTAAACTAAAGCAAAGGCTTCCAGGGAGGCCTTAACAGTGAACACAAAAGGCTGGGGTATAACAATAACACTACCCAGCACCCCAAGTTATTCACTCAGAGACTAGCAATGGGAAAACAAATACACAGCGAGTTCTTTGTTTGTGATTATGCACACACAGACAACGAGCGAAAACACAGAAAGAACCTCTCACTACCTCTGGAGGTGGGATAATGAGTCAGCACAGAGCACTGGAGTCCAAGAGAATATCTCCCACACCTGGTCTTAATCAAGGCCAATCAGCCACAAACACACCTGACTCTGCTCTGAGTTGAATCCTTCTCCAACCTCAGTGAGAAGCTAGAGCGAGTGCCCTCACATGAAACACATGGGTTTGGAGGTTTTTCCAAAGAATACAGGATGTTGAATTGTCTGAATTATAAAAGCTGACTAATACAAATTATTGCTGAAAAAAATCCCATTATGCAATAATTATATAAAACTGGGGCAGAGTTTATTCAGCATGCAGAAAGACTGGCCTCTAGTGGCAGAGAGGCTCCATTACATCTTTTGAATCCCAGCAGGATGATTAGGATGGTCACTTCTGCTGTATCAATTTGAAATGGTATGATTGATTTTAACTTAAGCAGCAACAACAAGAATTAGAAAAGAAAAAAAGAAATCTCACATGTGGCATTTGTGGCCCTCTTGTTTTTACGAACTATGTAGATTCGTATAAATACAATAGCCATTATCACCAGAACCAGAAGAATTCCTACTCCCAGGATGATTGGCACTAGGGTTATTGTTGATTTATCAGGATCATTATGCCCTGAAATCAAAAAGAGCAAAACATCTTTTCTGTGTTCATTTCTGATTCACATTGAGAACTTCCAGATAAATCTTTTAAAAACTGTTTTGATGTAAATATGTTTCGTTCTTTTTTAATACATTTTCTTTTTTTTAAGAGACTATTTGGGGAATCAGCATTTTGAAATGGGAACCAGTTTGAGGTTTTGGTTACCTGGACAGTAGATCGAAGCTTTTCCGAGTCCTGTACAAGGCGAGTGGTGGACACAGACCGTGACGTCATCCGGAACGGTGTTGCAATTCAATGTGGTTCTCTTAAATTACATATAAACTTCTGTTTTGAGTAATTCAGCCATGCATAACATTTAAGATATGTAGTTGAAGTAGACTAAGGGGTGAATGATCAACTTCAAAACAATGAATCAGAAGAAGACACAGGACTTAAAGAGACACCTTGCTTTGGACAAACGCACATTGAATCAGAGGGATACGATGTGATGACTTACCAGTGTGTTGGTAGATGTATGTATGGTTGCATTATGTGTGGCACACTGCAGCGTTTCACACAGCTTCGGCTTATATTTCGTTATTGATGCATCCGTGAGACACATGTTTTCCCACTCATTGCGGTAATTAACCTGAATCTTGCCTCCACATTTTTCTGTGGTCCTGAACTTAACTTCACCTGTAAATAAAGAAGTCAACCAAAAGAAAATAAATCAGATTTAAATGATGAAAGTATTCTGATTTAGGGGATCAACCCTTGACTTTAAATTGTGATTTTGGACACATGTTTGTGTTACTTCCAAATGAAAAATAAAATGCACCGAGATATGGTATAACATTTGTATGAAACTTTAACACTAGTAGTTACAGTAATGATGAGTGGAGACAGAAAGGGTTAATAACTACTTCTCAATGTTGTGTGTGCATACAAACTTCATGACATCCCTGACTAAGTCGGTGCCCCCATTTAAAAGTCATTTAAAAGTGTGGAGAAGAGACTGCATTTAAAAACCTTCTGTCACAATGTAATGAATAAGGTATAATGTTAACATGTGAGCTTCACAGGTACTGAACATGCTTTTCTTTTCTATTTTTTACTTTGGACAAGCTAGCTAGCAGGCTAACCCTGACTTATGCTAAGATAGGCTTATTGTCTTGGCTCAAAGTAAAAAAAAATATTCAATGTGACCCTTAAACAAGAGAGAGTGGTGGAAACAGTAAATAGTCAATTTTTTAAATGTAAGTGTCAATGAGATGTAAATTATGTGACTTCACTTTCACACAGTTAGCTGTGGGAGGCCGGTGGACTAGTGGTTTGTTTGCACCCTCCATGTAGAGAGGCTACCCTCTCTCTCTCCCCCGATGTCTGACTCTGTACTCTGCCCTGTCTCTCTCATAAAGGCACAATAAGCCCCCCTCAAAAATCCTGAAAACAGAGTCATAAAAGGGAATTACTTGCATGAATTATCTAAACAAACTTTTTTTTTTTAATCTAACAATTGGAAATCAACAATAACCATTTATATCGTTTTGAATGGGCAATCAAGTGTCCTTTTTATTTTGTGATAAAAATCATAAATAAGAATCCCCGAGTAGGAAATGTACCGAAATGGTACAACTCAGTTACCAACTCGGCACAATTGATCACTATGTGTCACAAATTTTCTCAAAGTAATATTATTTAAATTGCATTTCTTCAAGCAGGCTGAAAAAAAGGACAAGACATATATTCTGCAACATCAATGGTACATAAAGCAAACAGATACTTACGGACACAGTAAACAGACACCAATTTCCCGTAACACTTTGCCTTGAATCTTCTGCACTGACCCAGTTTGGAGTGGTACTTCTCACACCTGACGTGGTAGTACTCGTCTTTTGAGCTTGGAACTTTCTTGCTGAAGTGACCGACAGCTTTGATACATCCCTTTTCTTTGCATACCAAGTCTGAATAATCGTTGTGCCAGTTAGTGTCGCACACACTAATGTTGTCTATCGTCACTTCACCGCCACAGGTGCGTGAAAAGTTGATAGCTGGCTCGTCTAGGAAGGAAAAAAACTAAATATTAATCAATTATTTCTGACCCCAAAGGCTCGATATGAGGGAACATATCAAGTACATACCAGAGGAATAATTTTTACTTTAAAAAATACACTATGAGTAACAGACTATAAACAGCTAATTGAAAGTCTCTGACAACAATCATTGAAAATTAAAAGGGATAATACACAATGCTGCTCAGGGGAGTTAAATAATGAGGAAAGAGGATAGTTTATATTCAATTCAACTATAGCCAAATTAATTTAAAAAATATTCTTAATTGGATACACAATGGAGCAAACCACATAAATGAATCTGCAAACTTAAAAACAACACATTTAGCAAGAACAAAATTGTTCAATATCTACTAAATGTAAAAGGGTGAAATTTGACCAAAGCAAATATTATAGCTACATGTTGTTAATCAGCTGGCTGATACTGGCTTCTGCCCTGTCGTCTGCAGCAACAGGTCATTTGAAAGTAGTTGTTTAACTTTTTTGGAAAACCAAAAAATTAAACAACTGCCTCGCCAAGAGTCAAATGATAAGATCGAGCACACCTTTGTCAGAAGGCAAATAGGGAATTGCAACCAGAACAACGCTAGCTAAGGTTAGCATGAATATGATGCAATGTTAAAAAATGCAGCCAATGTGGAAGTGCAAAAAGTGTCCCTGTGAGACTGACTGCAAAAGCACAAGGAGTGTAATAAATACCAATATTCAAATATATATTTTTTTGTTTTTCGTGCGCAGGAATTACATGTGCACATTCTGATTCATAAAATGTATTTGCTATCAATCGCTAATTTCTTTATTGGTCCACACTGTACTCAGCTTTGCGTGTAAAAAGGCGAAGAGTTATGGGAACATATGCATAATTAGGGGTGTGGCTGATTTGACTGATGGGTCAAAAGCATTGTAGCTATTTTCCAGGAGGCTAAAGGCCCACCTCAACTCAAATAATTTAATTTTTTTTATTGAAATTTGGTTGAGATAGCATTTCCAATATGACAACTGCCATAATTGGGCGTCCAAACTCTGCTTCAGAAAACAAACTGGTACACCATTGGGACTACGTCCATGTTTCATACGGTCTATGATCCTGTCCTGGGAGTTACCCATTAGTAACCTAGTTTTCCATTTCTCATTGTTTTTGTGAGTTGTTAACATATTTTCAAAATATAAATGGCAAATTCTTGACATGGCTCATGGCCTTTTGATCATCTGCATGCTGCCAGGAAATACGTTTCTCAGGTCCCGATAATAGTGTTATCATATTATGCATATTGCTTACAACCATACAGTGCTGCCACTTAAAGCTTTTTAAGTTTTAGTAATGTTACACAATATTTGCTAATTCGTACACTTAGCATTTACAATCTGTAGCTGTACAGTTGATCAGTTCTCTTCTTGTCTTTATAAATGGCTCAAGTTATGATAGAGATAATGCCCTGCGTAACACAAGACTCCTTTTAAATGACTGTTTTTAATTTGGCATTTCAGTACAAAGTTCTATGATTTGTGAACTTGCAATAATTTATTAAAACATCCTTTTATAAACATTTATATAAGGTTTTATGAAGCCTTATAATTCCTGCACTGTTTTTTTTTACATGCTAATAATGCATAACAGACATGACCTCAATAAGAAAGTGTTAATAAAAGATTCACCTACCAGCATTGAAAAGTTGTGCATATTCTTGAGGGCTATGTGCTGGAATGTTTTCTAGCTAATTTAATTGATTAACAGGATGAGACTGTGAACAAGAATCTCAACTCCTAAATAAACCAAAAGTGTTATTTTCACACGTTGGTTTGTTGATTGATCAATTTTATTTCTTTTTTAACTTTGGACTGAGTTAGGCTAGCTCACTCTGCCTCCTCTACTGTTTGTCTAAGCTAGGCTAACTGTCTCACAACATGAAAGTGCTATCAATCCACTCAACAAATTCTTGGCGAAGAATTTTAAAGTTTGCAGGTGAAAATTATGTCGTGGAAGATTTTACCTTGACATTCGATATAGAGCGCATCCTTCTGCAAGGGTGCAGTTTTGTCTTCACATGCCCAGATGTTTTCTGGGTTGTTTTCACGCGCACAACTGAAGCTTGTGTTCCAGAAAGACTCCGTCATAGCTGTGAATGGCAAATGTTTGCTGACATTGCCACATTTCAGGTCTTTGCAAAGCCTGTTCATCTCAGTTTTTGACCAGCCATCCACAGAGACAGTACTTCTATCTTTTCCCGAGTAAACCATTACAGCTCCACTGCAGGCCTTGCCTTTAATGCAGTCCTTCTCCGTTTTCAGCTCCATCTTCCTGCAGCCTACAATATGCAGTGACAGGGGAAATACAGCTCAGCAGATACAAAACTCAAATACTTCATGAAATGAACAGCAAAGATGCAGACAAGATGAGTCATGTTTTCCATTCAAATTAATATAAGAACCCTGCTCATAGTTAGATAAGAGGGTTGACACCATTTTCCCATATTCATGTTAGAGTTACAGCCAGGTTAGCAACTTCATAATAAACATGAAAAAAAATGAAAAATGAGGCCAATGCCTCCTCGAACAAAAGCTTTAGCAAAAAATTGCCTGTCTACAATTTTGAGCTCCACGTGCTAACTTTTCCAACATGCTAATTCGTGGTCAAACTGCAGCTTGTGTCATGACAATTTTTTTATCCTGTAAATATTTTTAAAGAAAACATTATTTACAAGTTGAAAACAATATCCTGAGACATTTTGAAATCAGACTTACGTGAGCACTGGAGACCAGCATGCTTGCAGGGGGTCACATCAGAAGAGATGGTACAATTTTTTAATGACTTCTCACCACTATTACACTTTATGAGTGAAATGCTGGGTGAACTAGGTTGAGGTCCAAAGAAGTCATTCATTTCGACAGCTTGACCGCAATTCTGCTCCCCACAGATGCTGTTCTGTGTTTCTGTGTTATCTTTGAGAGCGTCCTTGCACACTGGGAGCCATTGACCCTCAAAGAAAACTTCCACATTCCCACAACATTTGTCTCTGTTGTCTGCTGTTATTCTGGTGTTAACACTTTCTGTAAGAAACCAATGAAAGAACACCGACAGAATTCCATTTAAATGATCCTGCCTGTTATGTTTTTGTAAAGCAGATAATAAAAAAGAAGGATGTGGTTAAAGTTACACAAAGATATCAACTATGTGTGCAGATAAAATAAAAACCTGAAAGACAAGGTCCAAGATCGGTGATACTCAGTTAATATTCATCACGATGAAGAAAAATAACCACAACACTTCATAAAGCATCACAATTGCTATATTGTTATAAGTATAATACTTAATAATTGCAAGCAATTTGCGGACCCTTTTAAGGAATTTTATTATATCACTAATAATGAATATTTTAACTATTTGACTATACAATATAGTAAATGTTCTGATGTTTAATTGTGGTCACTGGGTCTTCTATATGAATTTAATTTCTGATTTATTTTAAAATCTCAAAAACATCTTTCTGTGTTTTATTTTTATTTTTTTGGGGGGAGGGGGGGCGGCTTTATTTTCTAACCCTAACCCTATCAAGGTAGGACAGTGGATAGAGTATTGGAGGAGAATGTGAGGAATGACATGCGGGCAAGGAACCACAGGTCGGACTTGAACCCGCTCTTGGAGGACTGTAGCCTCCGTACATGGGGTGCAACCTAACATCTAGGCCAGGCCTATTCAATTTGCGGCCCAGGGGCCAACTCCAGCCCGCAGATGACATCAAGACTGGCTCGCAGATAAGCTCTATTTACAATTACAAAATACACAGGGGGGGGGGGAAACTTGTGAATGACTGTCACTGTTGGCACAGTAAAGTGTTGGTCCCATGCTCGCAGCATGTAACAAGCATGTGTTGTTGATTTTTAAAAAAAAAGAAGCGCACTGTACTGCTTTGGTGGGCTTGCTTGTCTGGCCCCCGGGTCCTTAGCTTCCTGAAAATTTTGCCACAAGAACAATATAGTTAAATAGCCCTGTGCTACGGCATCATTTTTTTATTTTTATTTTTATTTTTTACAATTTTTGATTAATATAACGACAAAAATGTGATCATAAAAATGTTGCCATTTGATGCATTTGACTAGAGTTAGCTTGGACCTAGTTTACATCTGCAGTCCCTTGGCAGGTCAAAATTAGGGTTGGTTAAAAAAACATTGATTCATCAACGCATTGCAATTATTATTTTCCCAATTCAATATCGATCCAGGGAAATCCTGAGGTCGATTGTATTCGTTGTAATGACACCCCTGTCCACTGGGGGTGCTGTGGGTGCTGTGGATTCAAGTCAGGCACATTTGTGCACTTTAAAGAATAATGCAACGATAAAATACATTTTTGAGTCATTTTGTTCTAAACCTATACTAACACTGCATACATAATTATTTAACAAATATCAGAAGGTACTGTGATGAGTTAGTGATGAGTTATCTGGGTATTCCTGTCAACTGAATGTATTATTAAATCGATATCGAAGCATATTAATTAATATTGAATCAAATTGATATTGAATCAAATCGTGACCAAATAATTGAAATCAAATTGAATTGTGAGGTTGTGGACAACACCCAGCTCTAGTCACAATGTGTTATGATTTCTGTTATAAAGCATTCACAAAATGCAGAGTGCTTATAACAATAACTTTATCCAACTCAGAGAAGACAGAAATGCCCTGTGGTGTATTCATAATGCATTATAGACATATGTATAAACACTACGTTACCTGAGCAAACAACGAAAGCTGGAGCTGCCTTTTTACTGAAGTCGTTATTTTTGATGAAGTTGCACTGGCTGATGTCTGAGGTCTGCTCCGTGGCGTGCACGCTTTTGAAGGAGACATTGATGACTGGAAGAGGGTTTTTGGTATTCAGGATCGCATTCCCACACTTCAGATTTTCACACAACATTTGAGACTTCTTTTCAGTCCAGGTGTCGCCAAACACACTGCCACACTCTCCTCCCACACAAATGTTGACATTTCCCCAACACTCCTTTGTCAGGTTCACTTTCTTGTTTCCTGTTGTTGAAATCAACAAGAATAAATAAGGGAGTTATATACAGACTTGCATCGCCAGATTATTTCACAACTAAAAACATTTAAAGTACAAATATTTGTCTGGTTTCAGGAAACTCCACCAATGCTGCATTCCCCCCAAACTTTTGAATCTTAAATCAATGGACAGCATGAAGTAAGGCAACCTTTTAGATCATACTTCTAATGTTTCAACATTTCTTCACATTACCTGTGCATATCACAGTGGCAATATCTGTGTGCTTCAATGGAGGTGCCGTTTTTTGACATTCAAACAAAGATATAGAGTTGGACGAGCAGCTGTAAGTTTCATTCCAAAACTCTTTCTTCTCATCAGTGTTCGATGTGGAGTTAAAGTTCAACGCCTCACCGCAGTGCATCTGCCGACACACTGTGTCTGCCACGTCTCGGGTCCATGTCTTGTTAGACCCTGAGAGCCAGAACATTTTGTTATCCTGCTCTATTCCAACCATGCCAGAGCAGGAATTTTTTCCATCCAGAAATACCATGCTGTGCTCTGCCACGGACAGAAGCAGGAAATAAAGACAAAAGGTGAGATTAGGAATGTGATTAACTGGCATAGCCCAAAATCTGAAATCCAAAGAACTCCATTTCTGAGTCATTAGAATGATTAGTTACAGAGGAAATGTTCTCTGTTCACTGATATTCAGTGCTTGATTGACTCAAATTGTTCAATCAGAAATGATTTCAGTGCAATTTTCTTGTAGCCAACTGAGTTATTTTAATTGAGCTAATTCACCTTTCTTTTCTAATTAATATTTGCAATCGACGCATGCACTGCTGTCTTCACAATGCATCCAAGGATTTATTCAAGCGTCACATAAACTTAAAACAGGGCGGTCAAGCATACAATGTGCAGTGTACAGTGCTTAGACATAGCACCTCATCTTAGGCTAAAAAAAATAACTCTTGTAGGTATGTTTTTATGATTACAGGTATTCTTTCTTTAATGCACACAGTAAAGCATTCATAGCCTAATCTCATTTGCAATGCCCCGCCCCGAGATGGGCCTTTAAAATATGCCTATATAAAACTCAACAACAGATACACACAAAAAACAGAAGCAAACAACCCCAACAATAAAAGACAGTATAAAACAGGACACATGAAAAATAGCAAACACAATTTGCCTGACCCCATCATGTGGACCTAAAGTAAGGTGCTTTACCTATGATCATATACCCTTGGGTTGAAATGACCAATGGATGTAAAGTTAGTCTGGCTTGAAGGATGGAAGGCGATAAGAGCTTTGGAAAGGAGCGGCCCACATTGGACACTCGGGGGCGCTGGAGCACAGATTTGTACATTTTCCGCTCTCTTCAAAAAGCTGTATGTTTACTTCACTTTACATCAGGGTCATCAGCTGAATGAGCTTCACCTGGACCCGATGCACTCTGCCTTTAAAGATCTCCTCGTTTCCCCTCATTCACTCTCCGACTCTCTGCTTCTGGTACTGAAATTGCATTGCCAACAGTCCTGACTGGTTTCTCCTCTTCTCCATGTTTGGACACAGCCTTTGATTCGGGCTGGGACATTAAATAATAACTACCATAAAAACGATTTCTCCGGATATACAGTATGGTGGCCTTTGTAACCTCTCTACTTGAACCTCAAGGATCAATGTCGAGGACAGATTCAAGTTCCCAGAATTAAAATGGAGAATGATATGAAGACAGACAAAGAGAAGGTCAAAAGGCATAACAGACAAACTGAAATAACACTTACTTTCACAGGTTATCCTGACTGCTTCCTTCTGCCCGCCAGTTTTGTCCTCATTGGTGATGCACTCAGATATCTTCGAGGCACTTTGATCACATGTTACAGTCACGAAATCACCTGAACCCTGGCTGTATTGGTCCTCAGCATTGCTGGTACGTCGTTTATTTCCACACTGCAGATGATTGCAGACGAGGTCTGAGTTGGTGTCCTGCCATGATTTTTGATTGACCCTTTGCCATTTGCCTTTATGTTGAATCTCCAATCTCCCTGCACATCTTCCAGGACTGTCAGCCAGTCTCACGTCCACGCTACCTGTAGCATGACAGGAAGAGAAGCAACTGAGTTACAAAACATGAGAACCCAAAAAATAACTCTCTGCACACATTTGGACATAAATAAATCAACTGTACAAATTCTTTGTAAGTTAAATTACATCATGCTGCTGTCACAAACATGAGATAATAATAATAATAATAATAATAATAATAATAATAATATTTTATTTATAAGCGCTTTTCAGAAAAACTCAAAGATACTGTACATTTGTTAAAAAGACAGACAGCTGCCATATCTCACCTGAACAAACTACGTAGGCTTTGGAATTACATCTGAAAGGGGTTTTTTCACGGAAGCCAAAACAGTGCCACAGTGAGGACTCACTGCCGAAGCATTTCACATTGTCCATAATCCCCACTCCAGCTTCTGTCTTGCTTTCAATAGTCAGCACCTGGAAAAGAGAAGTTCTGATCATCTGCATATAGGGAAGGGAAGGGATGTATCAAAGTCATTGTTCTGTCTGGCCACGCACCCCCCTCATTCGGATTTGGAGTGCGGTAAAATATTCTTCATCAACGTATCTACTTTTAGTAAGGGTACCAACAAAAATGGTGACAACTTGTTTCTCCAAATTTCAGATATCAATTTGCGTCTTCTTATTTTAGCTTTCTGTAGTCGGTAAAAAGATCCCTCTGTGTTTTATCGAATCTGTTTGCACAATCAATTGCACCACAGAGGGGTGCAGTTCAAGCAAGTTCAAAGTACACAGACTTTAAGTAAAAACTGGCTAAATTTTACAATCTGATAAACTGTCGTTGCCTCCACTTTATTTCCAATTTGACAACTACACACAGGAGCTGTTATTTGGTTGGATTGATTATTTCATGAAAAATACAAGGAATTAACTTGAATATTTTGACAAAGTCAAGTTACTTGATTGATTTTGTTTTGATCTGTTACTTATCTCTTCCCAGTTTAAAGTTAGCAAACACCATGAAAATATTTCTGTGTAGCTGCCATCTTTGAGTCAGTTTACTGACTTTTTCCGCACACCTTTGATTTAATACATTTGAGCATTAAGCACCATTCATCGTTTAGTTGTCACTTGTGGTTGGGTTGAGTACAAGTTTTAGAAGATAGAAGATAGAAACTTTATTATCATTGTATACAAGGACACAACAAAACTTTGTTAGCAGCAATCTTCAGCAGCAGCGTTTACAAAAACAACAAAAATATATTTGTGGTGATATGAGAGAGAAGTATGCAAAAAGTGACCAAAGCAATTGCTGTTCAGTGAATGAATGATGATAATAATAATAATAATAAATAAATAGACAGTTGTGGTTACAAGCTTACATGTAACACAGAAATGTTTTAATTGTTTTTTTAAATGAAACAGGACACTCAAAAACTCACACTCCCACAGTTTTTCTCACTGCAAACCACTTGAGCTTCTTCTCTGGTCCAGGTGGAGGCACACACAGGATATCTCGTATTGTTGACTTCAACATGAACTGCGCCGTAGCACTTTCCCTCTCTGTTGTTGTCCAGCAGAACGACTGATACATTGTCTGTGGGTTGTTAAAAAAAAGATTACGGTCGGGATTTAGTTTTTCAAATGGATCCTAATGTATGGCATTAGTTTAAAAATCACAGAACAATCAACCATATTGACACAGCCGCCATTTTCCTCTGACATCTTGGGAGCGCAATGTCAACATACAGTTTCATTGTTGTACTCCAAGTTCCAAATTGCATCACAATAATTAATTAGACTGAGAAGACAGGTTGAAATGGTAATAATACGGATGGACATCTGGCATTATTCAAGCTGAAACAACATATTTTATGAATTATAGTTAGCAATAGATGTAAATAATGAATTGAAGACATTTCCAGCTATAAGTACCTTTTAATTGTGTAACTGCTAAATGTTAGCTAGTAAGTGGCTGGATGTGTTGTCTAGGGACACCAATGAGCGATCAAATATACTGATTTCACTTAAAATATGGTAGATTGGTATCATCGTCCTCCATTATCTTTTTATCTGCTACTCATTGCAACTCCAAAAAGTAGTGACTTCATGATATGTTTGTGATATCACTATGCTCTTAGATTTCCCTGAAACCGGGGAGAGAGAGTGGGGAAATGACATGTGGGAAAGGAGCCTGCAGGTCAGACTTGGCGATGGGCCAGCCGCTTCGAGGACTTTAGCCCCTGTACAAGGCAACCGCTAGGCCATCTGCATCCTTAAATGTGGGTTTAAGCGGAAGCGGCCTCACATTAATACCCCGGCTCTTCCAGCTGATCCTTAATGTGCAGCTTCCAATTTCACAATTTGCCAGCACGGATCACGGTTAAGTTTTTTGCTTCATTTTTGTCCAACAGGAGGAGGCAGAGGCTTATCGTCCATTTGTATATACAGTTGTGCTTCAAACCAACACAAGAATCTGTTGTGCTGTGGCTTGTACTGACCTGAGGGATCCGTTTTACAGATAAGTAAAACGTGTGTGTGTTTTTATTCAACAGCCGATAGAGCTGGAAACTGTTGAAGTAATTCTATAAGTGTATTAAATAAATGTCTGGAAGACAGCAGTACAACAGTATAACAGTATTTGAGCTTTACAACCTGAGCTCGACATCAGAGGAAAATGGCGAGCGAGCTTTCTTTGTGAGAAGATGTGGTTAAATATTGATCAGTGAAATTACCTGAGCATTTCACATTTACTTCATTGTTACTGTTTGTTTTGCTAACAGATGTCCCACAGTGCATCAGCTGACAAACATCAGAACTGGAGTTGTTTTCTTTAACAGGAATCCATTTTTCATTTTCCTCTTTTTCCAGCTGCCCGGAGCACACATTCGATCCATTTCCTTTGAGTTGAACTCTCACAAAATCTGTTTATCAACCATTGTATGAAATCAGTGATATGTTACAGTAAAATGCTTAAGTAAACTCAGTGAAATGATGTATTTACCTGTACATATAACAGAAGCAGGGTTTTGGCAAGAACTTGTTTCCTGGTCTGCACACTGCCACAGATTAGTTAAATTTTCCGTGTTGTAACACTTGATTTTCATCTTCTCCGAGCTTTTGAATTCTTCCCTGCCAAACCACCCAGGTGGTCTGGGGATCTCTTTGGAGTCTCCACAGTCAAGACTTCTACACAAAAGGTTGGCTTCAGCTTGATCTTTATGTTAGAAAAACACATCATTATCATTAACATATCAATAACATTAAATAATGCTACTTGTAGTTATTTGAGGGATGAAAGGAGTGATTTAAGAAATAGAAACGAGTTGACAAAGTTTGGTTTATGGGGTTTTTATCTGCTCTATTAAGTAGATCAACTAATCTACTTCCATTGCAGGGATCTGCAACACTAAAACGGCTTTTACATTGATGCATCATTGTTGAAAAAATAAAAGTTAAAGATACAATATGTAGATTCTAGTCCCTCCTTCCCTAATGTAAGCAGTCAATAAAATATATTTAACATGGGTTTCGTCAATTTTTTATTAATTTACATATTTTAATGGAAACATTGTCATAAAATTCTACATATTGTACGTTTAAAGCCCCTGTGGGAGTTTTTAATTGGTTGTGAAACAGTCTGAAATGAATAGTGATGCCTCTTTCTGAGCAACAGAAGCAAATAAGATGGACAAGGGGATTAAAAGTCCCCTGAAGTGACAACCTTCTTATTTACATTTTACACAACACATTTTTTTAAGTGACACATTTCACTTGATAAAGAAAGCAGGCTGACATTTTTTTGTACAAAACAAACAAACGAAAAGGAGCTTTAAAGCAACAATATGTTAATTTCTTACCTTTAAAAAAGTAGTTTTAAAGCCGATCTATTAGCACAATAGCACAATGAATAGCAGCTAACACATTTCCACAGAGCACTCCAGTCACATGCTTTAAGCAATATAACTTTTGCAGCAGGCTGTGGTTCACTTAAAGGGAACATTTTGTACAGTGTTTTTGAACATATATTTGGGTAACCTGAGTGTCTACAGACCCACAAAATGTGAAATAAACCCATCCAGTCCTTTGTTTGTGGTCTGCATAAGTCTTACAACACAGAGAAAAATGCTCTGTTTCAAATTTACTCAACTTGTGATGTCACAGTGGGATTCTGGTAAAAAAAAAGTTCCCTCCCTTCCCCTGATATCTCCACCCATGGACTCCACCCCCAGCCTAGAACAAACATTTTGTGCAGGTCCGCCATTTTTATTCCTGCTACAGAGGAGTGATGTCTACAGGGAAAACTCAGGGGGGGCTCATTGCATTTAAAGAGACACACACACCAAAATGGAGCGTTCTGAGAGAGCTGGTTTATACAGGGTCACAAACCTCCTCTGGTGCTTGATTCATGTTATATTTTGAACAAAGCACAGCACAGATGTTTTTTAGACTGTTTGAAAAGGTATAAAAGGAGTACAATATGTCCTCTTTCAACGAAATGGGTACAGCTTTACAGCACTAGATCTCACACCAGCCCTCAGCTAAAATGAATCCATGTTAGCTAACAAGAGAAATGGAAAGAGTGATCAAGGAAGAAGTGGAAATAGAGTAAATATTTGACAAGCTACAAAATGTTGGTGAGAGCTTTGCGATACAGTAGGCTGCAAGTCTGATGCTGAGTGGGTTGTGTCAGTACTCAGGGACGCCAGTGGCAAAAGTTCACCAAACCAAACGCCTCTGTAATGTTGCTTTAATTCAGTTACATTGTCTTGATAATGTATATGTAAGCGGATAGTAATCTTAAATGAGGTAGAACCTTGACAACTGGACTTTCCCTTGTAATGGATTTTTTTGTGTTGTGCGTCATCCACCACTGAGTTATTCTTTTTATTAAAGCTCCTAGTCTGCACTTTCATTACGATGCTTTCACTATACATGAAGAAAATATCTATATTTATCCTTTATAAACCCCCACACTGCAACAATGTATAAAGACATGATCCTGGTAAAGTGTCCCATATGAATGATTCTGATTCTTACCAAAGTTGTCAGCACAGAAGTAACCTAAAGCAGCTCCCGGCCTTGTGGAGTACCTCACAGCTCCTGCACACTTGTACCCGTCCAGGCTTATTTTGATTTCATCTAAAAAAGCAAACACAGGTAAAAGTCAGGAACAGATACAATCAACAGTGGAGGAAATCCGAAGCTTCGTTCTCAGCAGCTTCATGTAGAACAGAATCTCTGACATTATAAAGGCGTAGTTTTAATTTAAGCAGACCATCTCAAAATGTACAAAGGAAAAGATGGGTCTTACTTGTGCATTTGATGGTTCTCACATAGTCGTCTCTGAAATTGTTGAGGTCCAAGCCAGGATATTTACAACTCAACAGGTCTTTCTCTGTTCCATTGCATTGCACCTCATCTAGCCACACATTTCTGTCCATGGACCGAAGCTCCATGTGTGAGGAACCTTTCTCGGGTTCCCCACAGTGGGTGCTCCTGCACACCACCTTCTCAGTGGAGTTGTTCCAGTATGTGTGTCCGACGTAACCCCATTGCTCCTCGTGGTAGATTTCAACGTAGCCTGAACACGCCTCCTTTCCCCTCTTCAGAATCACCTTTCCTGCAATAACTACATGAAAGGAGGGTAATTAAAGCATGACAACAGTTTTATGGTTTGAATTTGTATCAAAATAACCCTTTAAAAAAAATTACGATTGAAAGCTTTCTTTTCTAAATTAATTTCTCCTGACGTAAGACTACCGAAGACGCCGAAGTAGCGGACGGATTAATGCACTGACTCAAGTCACAGTATATAAACGTCACTCCACCCTCCTATTGGCTAAGGCTGAATTCTCCTTCTGCGCTCTTATATCAGCTCACTCGCACACTTGTTGCAGATACAATACTAGGGCGCATGAGAAACTCCGGATTAAGTCAGAGCGATACATTTAGCTGCTCCATTATCAGAAGATTTTCAATAGTTTTCTGCAAGTGTGAAAGCCCTAATAGATGAAAAAATACTCTTTTTAGAAAGAAATATATAATATCAAAAGTTTCTTGTGTCAAGTGTCATTTTTCATAAAAGAACAATATGAATATGGATTGCAATAATTTACTTACATTTTAAATTTGCCTTTACTAGGTAAGTCTTAACATTTTATGTACTCAAATTATTATATAAATATATAATGTAAATTAGAATTTCATAAAGGTCACCTGGAAATTTCAAATAATTCAATTCAGTTTTTTCTCCTTTGATTTAATAAACCCTTTCACCTATAGAGGTCACTACAGCAGAGAGCTATTCTAAAGCTGGTTTCTACTAAACACACAGGTTCTGATTGGAGGTTTAACATCAGCCACTGCAGTGCACGTTAGCAATTCATCCCATACACTGCCCCCCACTGACCAGCTGTAGTAAGAGGACCAAGTATTTCTTCAAATTCAAGATGGCCAAAAGTAGGTTGGAAATGCCATCATGCTCTGGGACATCTTGCAAACACTTTTATCTAGAAGACCTTTGCAGGTAATGACATTTTTAACATCAATTCAAACACCAAGGAGGGATATTTTTTATTAATATTCCTAAAAATAGATTTTAGGTCACCTGTCCACTGAACAGGACATCATGCATTGCTGGCTTTTTTTAAAGGTCAGATATTATCCTACCTTTTCACCAGTGTAAATAAGTCTCAGAGTTCCCAAAAATATGTGAAGTTTATTGGTATAAATACACACAGATTTTGTATTTGATCATGCCTATAAACCCCTCTATTTCAGCCCTGCTCAGAACAGGCTGTTTCTGTGTCTGTACCTTTAAATATGTAAATGAGCTGTGTCTGACCACTCCCCTCTCTGGAAGGGCTTGGGTCGCTTGGGCTTTCTTGCACCAAGCTCTATTGTTTAAGGGTTAGAGAAGAGAGAAGAGAGAAGGCAGACTCAGAGTTCAGAACAAACACCTAACCTATGGGAGTGGAGGGGTTACTGCCGTTTGTGATGTCATGAAGGAAAAATCTCCAAATGGCCTGTTTGAGCACACGTTTTCTGAAAAGTGGAGCAGGCTAAAAGATGGAGAGATGGACTTTTCTCTTTTTTATCATTGGGGGGTTTGTAGACCAACTTGAGACACATGGTAAAGTGTGTAATATGTGAACTTTAAATTACATTTAGTAATCATCATATGGAGGCTTTTTTTGTTCCTGAAAAGATTCATTGTGTAGTACATTTTCTCTGTAGATCAATTGATTTCTATTATCAAACTCAAATGGCCAGGATTGTTTCTGTTAAGAAACAATGCTCAGCGCAAGTTATTGGGTCAGGTCCCTCAGAATGTTTCTTTGGGTAGAGCTAAAGTCAGAATTCAAATACAAGCTCTTGCGTTAAATGTCTGCTGTTGGGCTGCTCCGTCATTCTTCAGGCGAAAAGCTGTGGAGGTACGAAGTAAGCCCATCAATTTTATCTGTACAAGACAGAAATATTTCAACACTCAAATTCAAGAACTCGGAAGGATTCTCATCACAGAGGTGGACATGTGACAAACACAAAAAAGTGTTTAGAAATAACATTTTGCATTAAAGAGTTGCATGACGTCCGATTCAGTGGACACTTCTGTAACCTTTTCAAAATTATAAATATATCACAAAAATGATGATAAGGCCACTTTGCATATCCCAAGAAGTAAAACATTGCATTTAAAAAAAATCTTGCCCTGTTAATTAATGCATGAAGGGGCAATTAAAAAACAAATCTCAGAACCATTACAGAGACCTGGTAGTAAATTATGTTGACAATTTTCCTGTATATGACTCATGATTATTCAAGTTATCTGTACCATAAGCGCACTAGCTTTAAAACCTGTGCTTTAGAGGTTTATGAATAATCTCTTCATGCAACCCGGTGTCAAACATTTAATCTTTTAAATTATGAAGAAATAGAGCAAATTCATATATCCAATTTTACCCAGATTACTTTAAACACTGACATTAAAGCATCAAGAGTTAGTTTAAAAAATAATGAAAGATTTTTGTTTCTATACCATGACAATGCAAAAAGCTTCCACAGCACACTGTTGCGTTTTGTGCCGACATGTTTATTGAACCACGAAATACCGTCATCAAGTATGATGGCGGCATCAAATCATTTCCATGTCTTATCTATATATATATATATATATATATATATATATATATATATATGTAGATATATATGTATATAGATATATAGATATAGATATAGATAGATAGATAGATATACAACCAATGAGACTGCCTCAAGTTACAATCACCCAATCAGAGAACCACTGAAACTGATGCTTAGAGCATCACCAGAAAGAAAAAATCCAAAAAGTCACATTAAATTACAAAAATGTTTTCAATATTCCTGTAACAGTTTGCAGGAGATGTTCTCATTGTCTTTAAGTTTTACCCTCCTCCAACACACCTGTCAAACACTCAGGTGTGCCGAGCTTTTTGTCCGACTTTTTTAACGTGTTTCTATTCTATGAAAGCTTTAGAGAAACAACAAACTTGTAGAGATTGTAACAGGAAATGTTTTAAACCATGCAAAGTAGTCCTTAATCAAAATGTATCTTTCCATGTGAGAACATTTTTATATTCACAAACAAACTTACTGCAGCTTCTGCGTGTGCATTCAAAAACAACTTCCCTTAAACTCAATAATAGTTGATAAAATGCCTTCATCTCCTTTTTATCAGACTTAAACTTCTGTAAACCAATGTCAACTGTTTAAAAAGACACAAACATCAACAGTTACATTTCAAGAGAAAAGCTGTAAATTACCTTTCAGCGGCTCAATGTGAGCGTTGAAGAGGACGAGGACGAGGAGGAACCACATCATGACAACAGCTCATGACTAGAAAGGGGGCAACTGAAAGATGAGCTCAGCTTTATACTGCAGAGGATGTGCCCTGAACGTCTAGTTAGGCCCCAAAAAGGCTCTCACAATTCACAGAAGAGCGGTCGGACTGAAGGACAACATTTTTATATGAAGGATCTGGGATGGAAAACAAATAAGCACAACATTTGGATGATTTTTTTTTTGTCTTTGTAATTTCCATGAATCACATTTTATATGACGAAAATAAAAAAAATAGCTCTGATTTACAATTCTTCTGTATATATTTGTATGAAGTATATTTGAGAACATTGATATTTAATGTGATGAGGTTTGATTGGCAGATTGTCAATTTTAATGTAAGATGCATGGTTAAGCTTTACACTGAAAGACTAAATGTATCTTGAAAAATGTTTGTCATTTGTGAATTTTTTTTCGCCTTGGAGACTTTTGAGAATTAAATATTATAATTTGTGAAAATCTGGACTGTGTCTACTTTCTGGCATGTCATTCTCTAATTATCTCTCCCCTATTTGGGACTCTATCTACATGTACTGTACTAGCTCTTAAAAGAAAGGCATAAAAAGCCACAAAAATCAACCTTAATATAAAAAACATACATATCAATTATTTCATTCATATTCCTCTCAGAAGCGTCTCCCCTCCCAGAAAACGACGTCTTTACCCTGGAGAATGATGTCAAAGCTCAGTCAGTGCATGTCTTTAATATTTTTTTTATATTTTAATGTTGCATCCACGTAAAATATCTGTTTCCAAAAATATAACAACTATTTATTCCAAGACAGCGAAAAGAGATGCAAGATGAAGCGAGTGCTTGGGATCAATAACACTCACAATTTAAATAAAGTTCAACCAGCTTCAGTGCCCTGAAAATAACATTGACTGACATTTTTTTTAACTTTTACAACATGACCATTTAACAAAATATAATTATAACTAAAGCATAGTAATGGACATTTTATAATCTCAGACTATGGAGTTTGAGAAATGTGCAATATGATCTGTCAGAGGAGAGCAATAACAAGTGACTAAAGACTGATAGGGACAGTGCAATATATATATATATATTTTTTTAAAGATTTATTTTGGGCTTTTCGTGCCTTTAATGCAGAAAGAGGACAGTGGATAGATTTGGAAACCAGGGAGAGAGAGCGGGGAATGACATGCGGAAAGGGGCCACGGGTGGAAGTGAACCTGGGCCTACCGCTTGAGATGAGAGTCTCAATACATGAGACACGTGCCCTACCCATTGTGCCACCAGCGCGCCCCAGGGACAGTGCAATATTGAGTATTTCCATTTAATTTGTCTATATTTCTATTGCATGCAGCACGGAGCTGTGAAGGGCTTTCTGACTCTGAGTGGTAAACTTATTGTATAGAAATATTACAAACTAATTCATTTAGCCTATTAAAAAAAAATGAATACACTGAGCAACTTTAAAGAGAAACACACACGTCAGCCATCAAAGCAAAAAAAAGCGTCAACTTACTTCAAAGAAATGTCAGGCTGTTAATATTCTCAGAAAGGAAAGATTATCATTACTGAGAAAAAGAAAAGAGAGACAAACTACCTGCCTGCTTCCTTTTATCGAAATTATCTAGAAACTATAAGAAGAGCTGATCGTGATGCTAACATCCTGTTGCTAACTCCTGAGCACAGACACTGAACAGCAGTAAAATAAAAATCTACAGGTTTTTGTTTTTGGCCCGAAATTTGATGACTTTTCCTGAAGTGTCCCAAAATACACAAAAATGAAAATATTTTCAAAACAGTCCAATTTGACGCCTGTATCAAATCAAGGGAAATTGAAGTTTTAAGGAATCTTGAGAGTATGAAACTGTATGTCTGTGTGTCATTCACACAGACATACAGTTTCATACTCAGAAGTGACAGAGTTAAAGGGGTACCTTAACACTGAACTGCATGCATTCCAGCCAAAAATCGAGAATCTCTGCAGTGGCAGACACCTCTCTGAGTCTCTGAAGAGTCATGATGGGGAATTCTCTTAACTGTTAAACTGCATAGGGATCAAACATGGTGGACATAAGGATCAGAAGTCATACAGAGGTCGGGTGAGGTGGGATTTGGCACATTTGAGGAATTTAAACCTGCAATCACAAGCCCCTACTATATAACAAAATAATTACTAAATGTGTGCTCCTGGGGCCGCTGGTAGCCTACCAGTTGGTGTGCGCCCCATGTGTAGAGGCTTGGTCCTCTAGAGTGGAAGGCCCAGGTTCAAGTCCCAACTGTAGCTCCTTTCCCATATGTCGTTCACCACTATCTCTCTCTCCATGCTTTTTGACTCTATCCACTTGGCCAGGTCACCTTTGTGAAAGAGATATTGATCTCAATGTGTTGATTACCTGGTCAAATAAAATAAACAACTGTCTATTTTTAGAACAAAGACGTAAAAAAAAAAAAAAGCCCAGAAAAGTGTGCTCCTGCCACTGAATGAGAACGCCATGTTTAATCACACTGTGCTGCAGCAAAGATTCCGCTCTGAACATTTGTATTAAACATCTTGACAAAACAAGTTGACAGAAATAATGAAACCTTGATAAGTCTGGGGTCAGATTTAATATATGAACTCAGCATGGATGTGGACTGTGGTGACAGGTGCAGAGTGAAATGTCATTTTTCTTTTCTGCACAGGGCTGTGGTTTAGTGGTTTCAGACTTTCCAGAGTTGCAGCAACATCAGGAAATAAAAAGCAACCACACTTTGCGTCAAAATGCCAAACACACGTTAAGGCAACTTGTCTTAAATTCCCTTAAATTAGCTGCATGTAGAGGAGTATCCTCAAGCAACCACCACTCTTCTATCAGATAAATTATAATATCTTATATTTACAGATACAAAGATAATTACTTTAAGTGTTGAAAAGTTTCTGATGAGACAGGCAGTTTTCACTCAGCTCAGAGGCTTGGAGCAGCTTTTGCTTGTTTTAAATTAAGTATTATTACAGGACATTAAGGTGGGAAGGAAGCCCCACACCCCTCACCTCTCCGACGTGATGTCAATAACAACATGCAAAAACAACAACGACCAAAAAAAGTGCAATAACAAAAAGTGCAATAAAATATGTGAAAAAATGTTCATATGTAAAGTAATGTAAAGAAGCTTTATGCAGAGACAAGTGTTTGATAAAGTGTTTGTTCACAGCTCTAAATATTGGAATAATCACAGCCAACAGGTGTCAACAGGTAAAACATGACAATCTAATTAAACACAGTAATATTAATATAATAAGATTTAGACCTACAAGAAAAATGTGACATGAATAAACTCTGTACATTTCATGCTCTGCCAGGTGTTAAAATGTTTATACAGTGCTTTAGGGTAATCATAAAAACTCTATGAGCAATTAAAGAAAATAGTTTTTAATCACAACAACTGCAATAAAGGAAAACGGTGTTATGAAATATTTAATATTCAGTAAAAACAAAATAAACCTTCAGTAAATATTCTCATTTAAATGTATTTCTATATGCTTTAATAAATAGATATATTATCTCATTTTACTTTATTAATGCTGGAAATATTATCAAAATTAATTTGTTTACAGACACATTTAAGAAAACCTGAAAAAGAGAGTAAATTTATACATTTATTTCTTTATTTGAAAAATCAACAAATGAATAAAATATAAAGGCAAACAAACCAAAACAGATTTTCTGTACAGACTGCGTACATCTGTTCTGAAGGGTGTATGATGAAGTGAAAACACACATTACTAGTCCCGTCTCTTTTTTTCTATCAAGTTAAAGTTCAAACTTTAGAATAACAGAAAGACAGACGCGTATCGTAGAAAAGCACCAAAACTACTTCAACAAAGAAAGAAGACTTTAAAGAATGAAAAAAAAAGAAATTATAATTCACTTTGAACACCTTGTTAGGTCAGACTGTCTGTTGATGTATTGTATTAATATGTATATAGACTTGTCCATTTCTGTATAATATATTGGGGGCTGTCAAACAATAATTTTTATGATAGTGATTAATTGCTAAATTTCAATAGTTCATCATGATTTTCCCCATTTTTGATCGCATTTGAAATTCCATTATTTCCTTTTTTTATAATAACAATTTTTATTGTCTAACATGAGAGTACTTTACTTTCTGTTTTAAATAAACCCTGTTTTTATTTTGAAATAAAATAAGAACCTTCTGTTAAATTAAAGGTTGCGACATTAACTTCACCACAGAAAAAGAAACTTGTTATAGTTTGAAAACAAAATGAAAACTGTTTAAAGTAACGGTAACAAAAGAAAACGTTTTAATGTAATGAGGTGGATTTTACTTTGACTCATCCGCTGAGCCGTCTGAGCGGTTTTATGTGAAATGAGACATTCAAAGACGCAGCAGTGTCGTTCTTTTCCATCATTGTGATCACAGAGTATATACACATAATTTATATACACATCAGAGAATCCCCCTCACTCACCACCTTCAAGAACTCCCTAAAAACTCACCTCTTCAACATCGCAAACAACCTCTTACCAACTCAACTCTCATCCTCCTTCTCTTACATTATTTCTTCTTTGTTTTGTTTTCAATGTTTTGTTTTGTTGTTATTCTTTGTTAAGGGTCTTCGATTACTTAATAAAGTGAAATAAAAGCATAATGCATTATTATTATAATTACATAATGTATACATATAGAGAGAGAGCAATAGAGAGAGAGAGAGAGAGATTAAATTTAACTGAATCAAAGTAAAACAGCAGATTTCAGGTTTCAAATGGAACAAATGTACGTCTGCTATTAAAATGACCATTATTGGAGGAAACTTTGAGTCAGACTTGTAAATGAATCTCCCGACATGTTGCAGTTAAAATGTGTGTGGGTGCAGCTCACTCAGTTAATAAATGCACACAGTCCAAAAGTATGTAGGAAGATGTTTAAATTATGAATATAATTTAGAAGGTGACTTAAGGATTTACAATATTTACTGTGATGGTTGTCTTGTTAAAAGCAAAAGAAAAAAATAGTTATTAAAAAAAAGCATGAAAATGT